CCGATGGGCAGAGCCCTGTGTGCTTCAGAGGAGGCGTTTGGAAACCACGCGTGTTAGGCCTCGGGCTGGCCCTTTAGATTGCAGTGTGGCATCTTCAGCAACTTAATTTTGTCTTGGCAGTGTTCTGCTGAGTACACACACGGTTTGGGGCGGGGAGGAGAATTGTCCTACTCGGGTTCTGTGGTGTGCCCCTGGGCAGCAGCACACGGCAAGACTGAAGTGTCGTCCCTTCCCCCCTCCAAGTAGAAGCAATGTGATCTGCAAGTTGGAGATCAGAGACAAAAAGAGAGCCTTACCTCTGGCTATCCAGTGCTACATACCACGGCTGCTGCTTCACCAGGAGGAAGCCACAGGTTTGCATGATTAAAGTAAAGCACACCTTGAGGATAGTGGAGAGCAGCAATGGAGGAGAGATGAGCTGGCCAGGAGGGTGATAAGGTGCAAGCTTTGGATAGGCTTCAGTCAAACTCACTGGAGAGAAACAAGAGGCACTTGCAGTTCACGGCCCTCCAGCCCACCAGCTTCCTCCCTCTGTACTTGCTGGGCAAGCAGAGCCGCACACAGACCCACTCATCTGCTCATTACAGGTGAAAGCTGCAAAGCCTGGCCCTAATAAGCAGACAAGAAATGGCTGTTATCTTCATTATTTTCCACCTGAAACTTCTCTGAATCCCCCTTCAGGAAAACACACAGAGAAGATGGGGAATATCATCCTATCCATGGGCATCTCCACAGCAGTTTAAGAGCTGTACTGAGTTTCACAACAGAAACACAGGAGTCCCATAGCAGTCACCAAAGCAACTGTTCCTCTTCCAGTCAAGTCTCACACCCAAACCCTAGCAGTTACTTACAACTTCTGCAGCTTTGAGCTATGAGCCAGATCTCATGCTCTGGGCCCTAGGAATTGATCTAGCACTGGTGGTTATGATGTTACCAACACAGCAGAGCTTGGCTCCTCATTTTAAATTTTATTGGGAAATGAAGTCAACTATTTATAACTCAGGCTCCCAGACACAGCTGGCTTTTCCAGGCTGCTTAATTGTTAGGCAAACCAGAAGGGTAATGACGGCATCTTGTATCAAATACTGTTGATTCCCAAAGATTTGCAGTTGCTGGAAACAAAAGCAAAGGCAGCACCACCTGAGAACTGATGACAACTTTGACAGTACAAACCTAAGCACCTGATGCTATTTCAGAGCAATGTCATGCTAGCAACAGCAGCCTCATAGCCTTGATGCAACACCATGAGAACTAGCAAGCCCAGCTTTCCAGCTGTCAAGATGGGTCCCACGAAACCCCTTGCTAATTCATAGCACTTGTGGGGGACCCAGTGTCTGAATGTGGCATTTGAATGTTTTTTCACCCTTCTTGCAGCAGATACCGATGCTGCTTGGACCAGTTAGATCAGGTCATGCACTCCCAGCCCACAGTAGTAACAGTGACAGCTAGAGTTTCACTTTGTGTCAGGTTTGAAATGTCTTTGGGTAGTGAGGACATGGACAAAGTTGGTGTGCCCAGACTAGTGGGTGGGGAAGCCATTCCCATGTGGTGACACACCAGTGGTCCCTGTTTGCCACTAAGCCTCAGATGTACCTTGTAGATTCATGTCAGTTCACTTTGCTTCGTGCCCTTCACCATCCGTGAGACTGTGCACAGATGATGTGCATAAACTGGGCAAGAGAGGTGGCCCAGGGTAAGTCTACACACGAATTTCCTTCCCTGTTTTTCTTTTCATGTATTAAAATTTTAGAAGATTCATCACATACTGGTGATACACAATGGTAATTCTTCCTTAACTACCCTCCTTCATCTGCCTGAGACATTCCCTTTTCAAGCTTTATCTCCAGCAGAGAGGCAGGTGCTCCCCCAAAGCTCCCATTTTACAGAAGTCCTGCTCCTGGGCCTCCACCAACCAGCTAGGCAGGACTCTCCCCCTTCTAATTCCCGTTCTTCTTTTGGAAGAGAGGAAGTTTTATCATTGGGCTTTTTCCACGATTTTGGGGGTCCTTACAATCAATCTACCCCCTCCCAGTAATTACCCAGCTTTTCGCATATTTGTTATTCCTTGAAGCCCTGTATGCCTTTTCTTCTCTGATGACTAATACTGCTAAAGATAAAAACCTATGGTAAGCAAAGTGTACTGATAAAAGATGGGCATGAAACACCCACCCAAACCAGCAGAGTGGTACCAACAAACTGAATAAGGTCATAAAGGGTCAAGTATTTAACCACAGTGAAGGAAGCAACCGAAGCTGCTTGACCTTCCCTGCTCAAAACACAAAACGAAGCTAAAATCCCCACTTACAGCTACAGTACTGTGGTTTAGTGCTACAGATGATTTCTGCATTTAGGAACTGTGTTTAGGATCTCTAAGAAGAGCAGAAAACAATTCAAATTCCATAGGCAACTATTTTGGCCCTAAGATACTGCAGAGCCACTTAATTACCTTTCATCTGCAGTATTTTGTTTCTTTGGTTTTATTCTGCACATAAAATTTAAATACCTGTATTAAGCTGTTGATTTTTCATTACTAATTCACTCAAACAGTTCTGAGAATGAAGTGCAATACTACACGAACAGGTAATTGTCTTCATATACATTTGGTCGAATGGCATTAATACTGGCTGCTCCATGACTGTGTGTAGCATATGGATATATATACTTTAAAGTTGTGGCAAGCAAATCTATTCTGTGGTCACTGTAAAACTTGCCCTTTCATGCAACTCTGCTGCTGTACTTGTTCCAAAAATACAAGCCACCATGGGCAATGCTCTCCTACAACCACAAAAAAACCTCCGAGCACTGGAATTTGAGGATCAAAACCAATTGAAAACCTCTTCTGCTGTATTTTATACAGTTACTGAGGAATTAAGTTTGATTGATCAGCATCTACAAGAGCAGCACACTCCTACCCACAACCCTGCACAATGAGCTCAGAGCAGGCAGCTGCAGCTGGTGACTGCACCAGGGCAGCACCCAGCCAACTCATCTGATCAACTCTGGCACACACTGGATGTTGGGGATTTGGGAGGTGAAAGACGAGGCCATGGATGTCTCCTGCTCTGACAGTGATATCCCTGCATGAGCCATTTTCAAAGCCTGAAATCCATGGGAGTCAGTAGGTAAAGAGACATTCCTCCCACCCTGCACACTATGTTTACTTCTGCTTTACAAGTTTTGCTTCAAGCATCATTTGTAATTGAACTTCCTCTATTCTGTGGCCCAGTTGATCTCATTTCCCACATCCTCTCCCTTCCCTGGATCTTAAATACTTCTTTTGTTCATTTAATCCCATTTTACCTTGTAAATACAATCCTTTGAAACCCTGTATGCAGTTTCCCACACTGGAGTTTGTGCATGCTTTTCCTGTTAAACAGTCTGCTAAGTTATTTAAATTACCATTTTATCTCCTTTCTATTCCTTTCAAACTCCTGTTCATATTTCTTTTATTGCTCTCTTATGAGCTTGCTGGCCTTGTCACCTTTGGTTTAGCATTCAGGTGTAGGCTATAGACAACTTCTAGAAAGGAAGTAATGCATTATTATAAAATAATATTATGTTTATTATAATAATATCAGAATGGAGTATATATATTCTACTAGACATAACATATAATAGATTATTACAATAATAGGTGATAGAATAATTACTTTTATAGCTACGACCCTCAGATTTCCAATTGTGTAAGGGACATATAAAGAAAATGTCTCTTGCCCCTATTTGTGAGGGGAAAAAAAGAAGAAACAGTAATCCTCTGCTATTGCATACATTACTAGAAAAAAAAGTGTAGATAGTATTTTACAGTGACATGCTGATGGAGCATACCCACGGACTAACTTGGGAAATGCTGGTGACAAGTGACATTGGGTGGCGTCTCATCACAGCGCTCCTTAAGGCTGAAGGAGAGGAAATTTAACAAGAATGGGAGATGAGGTCCTATGTACCCCGCAGTCATTGGCGCCATCACCACACATACCCACGTAGTAACTGATGGAGGAAAAAGAAGGAAAATGTGTAAGTCTTGCATGGAGCTGATTCTGCAGTGGAGCACCCACTGGCTTAGCACTTGTGGGTATATCAGAGCAGGGACAGCTGCCAAGAAGACAGTGGCTGTTTCCAGAGGACAAGTTGTATATGGGGAGAGATTGGGGTGAAGTACACAGAGCAAAGTTAGGATTAAGTTTTGAAAGAAGCTTTAACGGGAAAGGAAGCATTGCCACTTAATTCCGGTCAGTGTTTTCCCCTTAGTATCAGGGGCCACAGAAAGGTAGCAGGGTATGTGCATTTGCAGCAGGTCCTGTGGTTAAAGCTTGGTTTTTACCAGCATTTTCTCTTCAACCGTCTTTGTAGACCCAAAGGCACAGGAATTGCTGAAATAATACAGCAGTTCCCAAACCACCTCACATGAGGTCCCCCTGAGAGGGCAGGGAAATTCATTCCTAGAGGAGGCACCTCATAACCAATAATTAACCATTTATTTTCCAGAAAGATATCATGTCTTGTTTATGCTTATCAAGTGATATCCACTGTAAGCATGAGTCCTGCTGGAGGGAGGAAACATTCCTTTGGGACTCTTGGAGGAGCATCTTCGGGGTCAAACTCCTAACTAAGTTGTGGTTTTTTCAGCTTTGCTGCAACTAGGACAGCACCAGCAGCCATGCTGGGGATGGGGGTTATTTGTATATACAGGGGTCTGCCTCTGTGTTCTAGTCTCAGCCTCATTTCATGCTGCCTTCTGTACTGTACAAGAGAGAAGCAGTGGCTATGTCTGGGCAACGGGTGCAGGTACTCCTGATCCACAGGGATCCCTGTAGGGGAACTGAGAGGAAAGCAGCCATCAAGGATATGAACAGGGGTCACGTGTGGAGGAAGGGAGGGTCAGAAAGATGGGTCTGAAACAGCACTAGCTGGAACAATCACACTTCAGGAAAACGTGTTATTGATTTGGTTCAACAAGAAAACAAAAGAGAACCTTACTCGAGTTTCTGAAACTCTTCAACAAGGCTGAACTTCTGGCCAGGAGACATCCTAGCAAAGACAGTTGCATTCACCGGTATCTGCAAGAAAAAGCAACAGGTTGGCTTGGGCAGGTATTTGTGCCTCCATTGCTCCACCAAGGCAGGCCTGGGCCTCCCTGATGGGTGCCTGATACTTGTAAAATCCCATCTCCCAAATACTACCTTGGTTTTGCTACCTTTATGGTTTGGATTTCCTCTAACACGAGGTTTGTCCTGCTCTGTTTTCTGCCTTGCCTGTTTTGCAGGAGGTGCTGGGAAGCCAGTGATCATCATGTACTCCTCAGCAGCCTTTATAGCAGCAAGGCTTTATATGTGTTTCCCAAGTGCAGAGCAGATGGTTGATGACAGCAGCAATAACACTGCTCAGCCTGTGGTTTCTCCTACCTGAATAGCCAGAAAGTATAACATCCAAAAATCAGTCCCAGTGCGAGCTATTTTATGGACTGGATGACAGGAGTTGAAGATTTCTGCAGCTAAATGTGGGTATTTTTTGCTCCTGGTGCCCTTGCTGAGCAGATGCCATTGCCAGCTATGGTAGTGGCACATGGGAATGGGGTTGATGTTTTTAATTAAACTGAAATTAAGAAGGTGACCATGGAGTAACTCCACTGCACAGCTGCAATCAGCACCACAGCCACCCCTGTTAACTGATGTCTAAGAAGATGCTGAAAGCAAGCTGTTTGGGTTAAACCTGGGGCATGGTGGGAGGCTGCCTGAAGCTGTCAAAATGTAAAGTGACATTACAACTATCGACAAAAAAACACCTTTCTCCAGCTGGAACACCATTGCATTTAATAAAACAGAGAGGACAAGTAAATGCTTTATTTCCTCTGAACTTACTTTTGGCAGCAAGCTGTAGAAGTGCTTTATAATAACCTGATAGGACTTTCCGTTCATTGCAAAATGATAGTTGCAGGTTTCTTCTTCCAAGGTGATCTTTTCCTCAGTATTAGTATGTACTTCCTAGAAAGAAGACATTTATTTTCAGATGTGGTCATAACATGCTTTTGACTTCCACCTTGTCAGCCTCCCACCAGGCAACCAGGGGGACAGCCTTCTGCAGTATCCTTTTCTAAAACTTTATGCCTGGCAGTACTTGATTTTCTAGCTGTGTTTCCACACATAACTAATCCCTGTTAGCCACAGGACGCTAGTTTAGACACTGAGGTTTGGCCCCGCAAATAGTCACACAGACAAGTATGTGTAATTGCATTAATTCTGCATACTTCAAGCATGACTGAAGTGGCCACTGCATCTGCAAAGCCTTGCCAGTTATTTGTCTAGTTATTTTGCATGTTGTCCTGAGTGAAGAACCACTGGATTAATTATTTCTCCCTAACGGGTCCATAGCACACCTCCATATACCCTGGGGTAGATATGAACTGTCTCTTAGGTTTCCTCTGTTTCTCAGAACTACTTCCAAATCCCCAGCAAGGAGACAGTTATTAGGCATTAAAAGCTTTGTTAATTCCTCCTGGCTCTGGAAAGCAATCATTCCTGGCTGTGCTTACATGGGGAACAGCTGTGTTTGCTCTGCAATCTTCTGCTAATTGCCAGGCAATGGAAGCAGGATTGGAACCCTCTGGTTCATTTGCTTCAACAAGGATGAATTTCCTGCCTGTGTGAATCATACCTACAGTCCTGACCACCATGACAACTGTCTGCAAGTTATCTGCTGCAAGGATATGGAGAGACAGGCTCCTCACCTCTGCCATAGTATGGTGGCAGTCCAGGTAGAGACCATGGATGTGCAATGGAAGATGCTGGAGGAGTGAATCTCTTCTGCATGCCCTGCAGCAGCCAACATAGCCACAGAAGGAGCATGGTGGATTTACCTGTGATCATAACACTCCTGATGCGGGCGGCAGCTAGCTGCTGTACCACAGGCTTTGTCTCCTGCTTCAGGAGGTTCTCCATCACCAGGAGGCCCAGGAACTCCAGCTCAGACTCTGCATCCTCTCTTGGAGCAAGGAAGGAAACACACATTGCTGTTTCCCATGGATGGCACAGAGAGCAAGACTCTGGTTTTTGTTCAACAGGAAAGCCATGCTTGGTGGGAAACATGCTTGCTCTGCAGCAAAACAGAACTGCTAGGACTTCAAGACAAGCAGTCTTCAAGACTTCAAGACAAGTACTCAACAAGTGCCAACATTTCTGCAGCTTCAGCCAAGCTGCTGATTTACTACACTGCTGCCTCTAGGAAGGAGCAATGCAGCAGAGATGCATGTGCAGAGGGACAGGGATTTGCAGCTGAAACCCACAGATTATGGCATACAGATTTCTATTGCAGTCTATTTCTAATGCACTGCTATATAGAAGCACAATAACCAGCTTTCATACCCTTTGATAACAGATTCTGAAATTCAGCTCAGTGAGCCTTGCAAGAGCAGAAGTAAAGCAGGCAGTATAATCGGCATCTGCTGAAAGGAAGGTATTGGATGGTACAACTTCCCAATAGGCTTACTTTGGCAGGAGAGGAGGGGAAGGTTTGGGTCAGGGTAGGGTGTTTTAGGGCAGGTCATATAAGCCGATAGGAAAGCAGCCCCACAGCAATACCAGTGGCTCATCAGCACACCTTATCTTTCCAGGTTGCTCATGTCTACATCCTTTCCTGGGTTTAGCACTTTATGGGCTAGGGCAATGACTCTGAAGCTTTGGCTTGTGTATGTCTTAAGCTCCTTTAAGAAATTAGCTGGGACTGTTTACAGGAAAAAAGTTTCACAGTTAGAATATTCCATCCTTGCTGAGTGCTTTTCTAGGGTTAAATGCCTAGTTACAGCCTTACTTAAGACGCTGTAGCCTTTCACCGAAGTCAGCTGTTTTGGACCAAAGCTGTGTAACTCACTGGTCAAATAAGTGATCTATGCATTTGTTTTATACTTTTTAAATGTATGTTAAGGTGCAGGTAGTAAATAAGATGAATTACTGAGCAGAGGATGAATAACTGACTATATAATTCTGTCCTAAGCTTTTTTGCATACATGATGAGTGACTGAGGAAGCTGTTTTTATATTTATGCCTTAATGTGAGAATTCTCCCAAATCCTCAATTTTCAATTCTCTGATCATTCCTGTGACTCTAAAAGCCATGAGTTCCTTTTAATTGCAGTATTTTGTACTCACTACATACTGCAATCACAGCTTTACAGCGTGTCACCTAATTATTCATTAAGCTGTAATCAATATAGAAACAATCAAGACAGAATAAGAGGAGCTATTTAGAAACCTGAGAAAGTGGAACATAATTTTGAAGACATTTTTCTTGCTGATGTTGACTTGTTTGGAGGTTTGTGTCATTAGATCTTAGATGATTCTGAACTAAATCTTTTCATTGTCCCCCAAAACCATTTTCACTTGTTGTCGGGTCAGTGCCATCTGAAATAACAAACCACAGAGCCAGATTACATTGTGTTTGCTTGGCATCCTTTTGAAGTATTCAGGGAATGTGACCCGAGTTTCAAGTTTGCAGACAAATTTGTATACAATCTACAATATTGTTCACATACAAAAAAGAGAAGCCTATGTTTACTTCTAGAGAGAAGATAGAAGTCTTGGCTCAAGTGTTAATACCAATTATCCTTAATAACAGTAATTTGCATGTCCACAGCAAGTTTTCCATTACTGACATTTAAAGCCTTTGCAAGCTGGGTCAGTAACTCAATGCTGAATTTACAGGGCAATAAATTAGGAGGAAATTTGAGAACTTGTAAAGCACAACACACCTGCTGAGACGTATGCAATTACCATGATCCTACATATGCTGTAGGTATTTTGATATATCATCATTATTTATGTACTATATCTTCAGCTGATGCAAGTTAGCTAAGGCATGTACAGTGGCTGAACCCCAGGCTGTGCATCTCACTAGATGTTGGGCTGCGTGAATCTTTAACTTACAAACAAACAATGAAAACTTGTTTGTAGTATCAACTAATGACATTTAACAAGCTGAAAGCTTGGTTTTGGGAAGAGTCATACACATGCAGTTGTAGTGTGGCCAGTGGGATTTCAGCCCCAACATAAGCTCTGTTTTGGATTAAATCCAAATAAACACTGTGTGAAGTTCCTCTTTCCCAATTCTGTATCAGTATCTTGTCTGCAAAAGCTGGACACTGTTTCTGGTGCTCCTTGCATGTGCAGGTCATACTGTTCCTCTCCTATCTTCTGTGAAACAACAGACATTCTCTGCAGCGCAGAAGAAAATGGGAATTGATGTAGGATTGCTGTTCCTTCCATGGGAGCCTGGAAGAGGTGAGGAAAATGAGATGTCATCTGAGCCACTGATTACACAAAGCAAATCCATTCTGAACTTTACCTCATTTGAGTCTTTCTTGCTAAGATGACTTATTATTAATAGGAGACTGTTGCTGTCTTCTGGCTATGGGATCAGATCACTGATTACGTGTTTAGGAACCACTATCTCAACAGCTCTGTCTTCCCAGCGTACTTACCAGGAACCTCAATGTTTTTGAGGCTTTGTCCCAGCTTTTCTCTTAATAATCACATATTAATGTAATACTCCCGCATCTACAGTCCTAGGAATTGAAATTTTATGAGTTACAGTGCATTATGATGGGAACAAAGACATCCTAGAAACAAGACTGACTTTCTTTTGCCACAGCACTGTCTTTCTGGTATTGCTAGCGGAAATCACACTCATTCCATTGGGAAGAAGCTGGCTGGGTCAATTGGACTGGAAATGTATGAATTTTCAACTGTCAAAACACAGTTTCCCAAGGGGCCTTCTAAGTGGAAGAATGAAGCAAAAAACTTTAAGAGGAAGAGTGAAGCTTTGGGGTGACGCTGATAAATCTGCTAGCAGGGTTGCATGACCATTACCAGCAGGATTTATGGACCCACATCTGTGCTTCTCAATGTAATGCCTTTTCCTTACTCACATTGCTTTCTCCTGCAGATGAATTCATACTTCAGATATTTTCTTCCATTTACATGGTCTCTTTGCATTAGTTTTCACTTAAATTGATTGTGTACTTTCATTTTGCCAGCAGCTTTATAGAGTGAGGACTCAAGAGAAGTCTGTACCTTTTATTCGTGCAAATAGTAAAGTTGAAAATGAAGGGCTTTTAGGTCCACTGGTTGGGGAGCAGAGGGTGTGAGGGAGTATCTCCTCCATAGTTCAACCACCAGAGGGAAGGAAAGAGAAAGATGTGTAATTGCTAAAAAATTCCATTATATGTCTCCCAAAGCATAGAGGTGATGACCACGCTGGGAACGCAAGCCAGGCCAGTTTCATGATCAATGAGTCTATTGCATTACAAGTCATTACCGTGAAGTACAGTGAAACAATAACCTTAGCCCAGGCCCCCCAGCTGATGAACACTAGAACAGCAAATAGTGGCTGTAAGTAAGGTACGACATGCTGAAAC